TTTATGCCCTATATTAGTCACTTTTCTGTTGCTGTGATAGAAACACTGACCCAAGCAATTTATAGAAGGAAGAATTTGTTTGCACTTATGGTTCCAGGGGAATTACAGTCTGTCGTTGCAGGGAGGCATGGTGGCTGGAGGTGGCTGGAGCAGGAGCAGCTGAAGTGAAGCTCTCACATCATCATGCAGGCAGAGGAAGCAATAGAGTGACTCAATCTGGCAAGGCTTAAGAACGCTCTAAGCCCACCCCCAGTGACATGCTTCCTCCAGGATAGCCACACCTTCTAAAACCATCTGGGGACAAAATGTCCAAATACTTGGAGCCTATGGGGGACATTTTCATTCAAACCATCACATTCCACCCCCTGGCCCCAATAGGCTCATGACCATATAAAATGCAAAATGCGTTTAGTCCAACTTTAAAAGTCCTCATAGTCATTATCAGTCTTAATACTATTCAAAAGTCCACAGTCCAAAGTGGACTTGCGTAAATATCTTAACTGTAAGCCTCTATAAAATCAAAAGACAAATTACCTACTCCCAACATACAGTGGAACAGAATACACATTACCATTTCAAAAGGGAGGAATGGAGGCATAGTAAGGAAACACTGGACCAAAACAAGACAGAACCAGCAGGACAAACACCAAATCCAGTAGTTCCACGTCCAGCTTCTGGGACTTTACTTCCAAAGGGCTTAGATGGCTCAGCCTCTCTAGCTTTGCTGCATGCAACAAACATCTCTCTCTTGTGCTGGTACCACTCCCTGTATGCAGGTCTTCTTTGCAGATGCCTCACAGCTCTGGCATCACGAACTTCTTGGGGTGTCCATTGCCAACCAGGCTTCACCTTCACAGCTTCATGCAATGGCCTATCAGGGCCTTCTCTAGGCAGAGGAACCCCTGCTGTATGCTGTCTGGCCTCAGCAGCTTTCTGCAACCACGGAGGAAGAATTGATGACCCCTTCACGCTTGTATCTTTCATGCTTCTAAAGTCAGCACCCGGTGAACAACAATGCCAAGTTTGACTGAAGTTTGGAATGGACTCCAGCCTGCTTTATCCATTTTAGAAGCCTTTCTCTTCAGTGGTCCTTGCAGCATTTTCCTTTCACAGTTGGAGGCTTAACTGGCTGTGGTCTTTCCCTGGAGGCACTCTCTCCATTGTTTAAGTTTGAATCTCTAGGCCCCTCCTTAATCACTTTAATCTTCTCAATCACTTTAATCTCCTTTTTCCAGCCCATGCCAAGGCTCCAACATTGATCTTCCTAGTGCTCTTTTTCAATCCAAATTGTATTTCTTTCTGCCCCATTTGCTCTTTCTCCCTGTAGATCTGCATAATATTCACCATTAATATCCATGACACCATTTCTACATTAGGCTGTCCTGAAATTTCTTCCACCAAAGAAATTAGTCTACTACTTTTCAACTTAGCCTCAGGCAAGCTTTTTGGTCTAGGGCAGACTCCAGCCAGTCTCTTTGGCAAAATATCCCCAGTGCTGCTTAAGTCCTTAATTCCCTCTGGAACTACATTGTTCTCAGCACTAATTTCTTCCAGGCACCTACTAGAATGGCCTGTCTAGCTCTGCTTACAGAAATCAACTAATTTTCCACCCCAAACTCCCAAAGTCTTCTACATTCCTCGCCCAACCTTTCAAAGTCTTCCACATTCCTCCAAAACCCCACATGGTCAGGTTCTTCACAGTCAACAGCCCACTCTCTGGTACCAATTACTATATTAGTCACTTTTCTGTTGCTGTGATAGAAACACTGACCCAAGAAATTTATAGAAGGAAGAGTTTATTTGAGCTTATGGTTCCAGGGGAATTACAGTCCATGGCAGGGAGGCATGGTGGCTGGAGGTGGCTGGAGCAGGAGCAGCTGAAGTGAAGCTCTCACATCATCATGCAGGCAGAGGAAGCAATAGAGTGACTCAATCTGGCAAGGCTTAAGAACTCTCTAAGCCCACCCCCAGTGACATGCTTCCTCCAGTATAGCCACACTTTCTAAAACTTCCCAAAACAGCACCATCATCTGGGGAAAAAATGTCCAAATACTTGGAGCCTATGGGGGACATTTTCATTCAAACCATCACATGCCCTTTAGTATTTTTTTTATGAAATTGGGAGTCCAAAATTTCAGTACATAAACATTTACAATTATATATTCTTCTTGATGAATTAACTTTATTGCTATATAGTAGCCATCTTTTAAAATTTAATTAAATTTAATTTTTTTGTGTGTGTGTGTGCTCACGCACATGCACATGTGCATGTAACCCGAAAGTTACTCCAAAAAGCTAGAATTGATGGAGAGGTGGGTCTAGAGACCCACACTGAGCACACTGGGGTGGAGCCCCCGCCATATTGAGCACAGGGAATGGAGCTGCCAATGGCCTGGGAGCAGACAAGCAGCCAGGGATGATGATCACGACACACAACACACTGATGGCAGCGTTTCATGCCTCTGTACGTCACCCCGTCACCCTCTCTTGGATGTCCTAAACTATGCACAACCCAAATAGAATGTGTTATGTCGCTTTTGTCAATCCATGTCAGAACCGGGAGACCCTAGAGTCCTCAGAAGGCATGTGCTGGTCCCCCAGGAAGAGAGAAGGGAAAATTTAGTGCAACAGTGCACATGCACGTCCATGCGCATAGGTGCACTTGTGTAAAAGCACACATCTGGAGATCAGAGGACAACTTTCAGAAGTCAGTTCTCCCCTTCCGTCTTTATATAGGTTCTGGGGGTCAAGTTCATGTCATTACATTTGTGCTTTTTACCCACAAGAGCCACCTTGCCAGTCCCATAGTAACTTCCTTTATCTCTAATTTTGCTTTTAAGTCTACTTTGTCAGATATTAAAATAACCATGCCAACCTGAGTGTGGTTTCCATTTGCTTGGTAGGTTGCTTTGACTTTTTTTTCAATGTCTTTGCCAAGAATGTGTGTTTCTTGGAAGCAATATACAATTTAATGTTGTTTCTTAATCCAGTCTGTGTTTGTCTTTTAAATGGTTAATTTAAGTCATTTGCTTTTTAATTTATTATTGAGAGGGGTTTGCTGCAGTTTTGTTGGTTGTTGTTCTGGTTGGTTGGATTATTTGTTCTTCTCTTCCTTCTTTATTAGAATCAGGAGTTTCTGGCTTATCACATTGGACATGATGGATTCCTTTCTGGCTTTTCTTTATTAATCTAGTCCTTTCGTGAATGCGACTGTATTTTTCTATATATAGAACTCCTTTAAGTGCTTTCTGCAATGTTGGCTTGGTTGTCATGAATTAAGCTACTTTATGCTGCCTTGCCATGTTCTTTTTTCCCCATCAACTTTGCCAGATAATTTTTTGGATATAGTAATTTTGGTTGGCAGTTATTTACTTTTAGGCACTAAATATATCATTTCCTGCTTTCCTGGCTTTTAGGGTTGCTAGTAAGATATCTGATGTTATTTTGATGTTTTCCTTTGTATGTGAGTTGATATTTTTCCCATACTGCTTTCTATTTCATATTATTTATTTTCTTAATGGTTTTGATACCATGACTATGAAATGCTTTGAAGAAGTTCTCTGGAATATCTATTCAGGATTCTAAATTCCTCTTGTATTAAGATATCCATTCTATTGCTAGGTTCAGAAATTTTTCTGTTTTAATTTCATTGAATAAATTACCTGTTTCTCTAGACTGTATCTCAGCTCCTACTTCTACCACATGTATTCTTTGTTTTAAATTTTTTGTTGAAGTTTTGTATACTTCATACATAACATCTTAATCAATCTTAATAATCTTTATAACCCCTTCCCCATGAGCACCCTCCTATAGCCCCCTGAAACTGGAATTCATATATTCTGCCATTTGTGTTAAGGCCTAGTGTGAAGTTAGTGTCCCCAGACATTCCTCAGTGCCAGTTCATCTACTGAGGTCTAGTCAGCATATCTAGAGTCCCTTGCTTTAGGAAGAACAGCTCTTCCTCACCCAGCAGTAATGAGTTGCCAATATTTCTTCAACTAAGATGGAGACCTTCTGTTCATTTCCCCAGTTCTATGCTGGGTTTTTGTTTGCCTGAATTTGCATGGGCCTTGTGCATGCTGACACCATTGCTGTATGTTCATTTAAGCAGGATCCCAGGAGCTTGGAGGACTCTTATTTCCATATGGTTATGCACCTCCTCCCTGGCTCTTACAATCTTTCTATCCCCTCTTCACCAAAGGTCCCTGAGTCTTGGGTGGGTGAAGTTTAATATAGGAGTCCTTTCCAAAGACCAACATTCTGCAGACTCTTAATCTCTACATTTTGAGCATTTGTGACCTTTGGTGCTCTTGGCCTTCTGTCACATGAGGGAGCTTCATTAATGAGAATTGAGATATTCATTAGTGTTATCTTCACCCTTGTGCTATGTTCTCTGAGCCTTAGGTATAGAGGTCGCATTGTAGATGTGGCATTTAGGCTTGGTCAATTCACAGACAATGTCTGTGTGTGACCAGCTGTAGTACTCTGTAAAAGACTGGCTGGTGCAAAAAGAAGCTTCTTTGATTGGTTATGGTTTCTTTTATGTATAACAGAGTTCTTGGAGGTTTTAGTTATTCTCATTAATTTTTTCTTAATATTTGTCTGAATGCATTATTGTTTTGATCTTACCTTCCATCCCTGAAATTTGTGCTCCTTGGTCTTGTCTGTTAATACATCCCACTGTGATTTTTGATTAAGTTATTGCATTTTTCTTCCATTCTTTGCAGAGTCTTAATTTATTTGTTGACTTTTTTCTCTTTATTTTTGGATTTCTTCTGCAAATAATTACTTGTTTCATCCACTTTGCTATCCATGTCTAGTTCCTGAATTGATTTCCTTACTTCATTCATCTGTTTATTTGCGTGCTCTGTGTAGTTGTTGATCTTTTTTAAAACCAGTACTCTGAAATATTTCTCTGGATTGTTTTAGTTACTTTTCTGTTGATGTTATAAAACACCATGACCAAAAGCAACTTATGGAAGAGTTTATTTTGATTACAGAGGGACAAGACGCCATGATAGTAGGGAGGCATGACAGCAAACAGCAGGAGCCAGAGGATGGGCTGTCACATCTTCAACCACAAACACAAAGCAGAGAATGAACTGGATGTCGGTAAGACTATAGACTCTTAAAATACATTTTATTGACTTCAAATTTTCATACAATGTATTTTGATCACATTCAGACTCCTCCAGTACCCCCCCGACCCGATTTCATGTCATTTATTTATTTATTTATTTATTTATTTATTCATTCATTCATTCATTCATTCATTCATTTCAAAAGCCCTGAAGATTCCAACCACTCCTCCCAAGTGTTCTTGGGTGTAGGTCCTGCCCTGGAGTCTGGTCAACCTACCAGACATCACACCAGTCAATATAGCTGACTTTTCTTCTCCCAACATCCATCAGTTGCCAACAGATTCTAAGTTAGGGCTGGGGCTTCCTACCTACCTCACCCATTCATGCTGGGCCCTGGTCTGGATTGGGTTTGCTCAAGTCTTGTGCATGCTGTGTCATAAGCACTATGGGTTCATATGTGCAACTACCCTATGATGTACAGATAACACAGTTTCCTTATATTCATCTACCACCTCTGGCTCTTACAATCTTTCCATTCCCTCTTCTGCAATGATCCCTGAGCCTTCAAAAGAGAAGGTGTGATATAGGTGTCCCAACTCTTGGTTTAGGGTAACAGTATTTAACCTCTTTTTATCTTGTGTATATATGTTTCCTTAAATAATTCATTTGTTATTTTTATTTTATATGTATGCATGTATTGCCTGCATGTGTGTAAGTGTACCTATTGTATGCAATGCCTGCAGAGATCAGAAAAGGGTGTTGGATTCTCTGGAACTGGAGTTAGGATGCTACATGGATGTTGGGAATCTAACCTGGGTCCTCTGCAAGAGCAGCCAGTGTTCTTAACTGCTGAGCCATTTCTCCAGCCGTGTGTGTGTGTGTGTGTGTGTGTGTGTGTGTGTGTGTGTGTGTGTGTTGAGAGAAGTTTCTATACTAGGTTTCCACATGACTCTTCTAAAAGTCCTTTAAGTGTTAGCTATACTTCCTAAGGCTATGAAATCTTAAAGCCCACTTACACCGGTGTACTTCTCCAGCATGACTGCAATACCTCCCCAAACAGGGCCACCAACTGGGGACCAAGTGTTCACAAACATGAAGCCTATGAAGGACATTCTTATTCAAACAACCACATCACATTTCAGCTATCTTGCTATGCTTGCTTCCCAGTATTGAGTAATTGTGAACTTGTAGAACTATTGTAGTGGCTTGTTGCTGCATTTTTTTTTTGTATTTCTTTATTATGACCTGCACAGCTGTTGGGATGGATGTGTCCTCCATTTCTTTTTTCTTATTCCTCTTTTTCTGACTCTTTGTGAGTTTGTTTATTTTATGTTTCTTCCTGGTGAGTTGTCTTCATTTGGATTTATGCTCCCCACTGTTATTTAGGGGCAAAGCTGACTACAGTGACTGATACAGTGATTTGACAGCAGTTCAGTGTTAAGTCGCAGTAGAAGTCACTTGTGTTCTTCACTTGTGATTCTGGAAAGGTTCAGAAGGCAGCAGTACTATATGGGAAGTTCACTTCCTATGGCCCTGAGGCCCCTGCCTTTTAATTACAATTTTTACTCTGGTATTTGGGGATCATCTCTCCACAGGTTAGGCTCTCTGTGGCTGAGGCTCTCAGGGAGTGTAGAAGGTCTGCCTTGTTATGTTTACTTTTGTCACTGGGAGGTTTCCACCCAGTGAGACCTACCAGTGGACCTGTACTAATTTCAGCAGTGCACTTATCACGTTCCTTTGTGACTTGCTCAGGCAGTGGCACGTTATGATGCCTTTCCATTAGTTAATCTCATGGAGTCCATGTCTGAGGTTCAGGCTCCCACAGCACACTTCTGTCTCCACCCCACAGCCAGATATGCACTGGCGTCTCTCCACGCTAGCTATGTCTGGGTACTGATTGCATTTCCATAGCCCATTCTCCTTCCAGTGCCCTGTTCTCATGGTGCCCATGTTCTAGAGTGGACAACACCTTCCTGGAATCTACCACCGACCCTGCTCTGATGCAAGAAGCTGAGCCTCGGCTTGTATGCTTTTTGTAGAGAGAAATCACACCCGAGTTTCTTTTTCTTTCTCTTCAGTCCTTTCTCTTATAAGAACTGTTATCTATACTGGCTCCTCTTTAGCTGGATTGTGCAGAGGCAGCTTCTAATTTTACCTAGAATTTTGTTTTCCTTTTCTATTCCTTTACAATTTTGTGCAGTTTCATGCATTTATATAATGAATTATAGCCACTTTCACACACAGCCCCATTGCCCTCTCTCATCCCCCTTCACTTCTAAGCTGAAACCTTCTTCCCCTCCTACTTCTGAGTCTTCTTTTTGTGTGTGATCCACTGACTGTAGAGTTTCTTGCTCAAGCATGTGTGGGAGGTTATTTACAAGAGCAAGGGCAACTGATCAGCGGCTACATCGCTGAAGAAAACGACACCCCTCTCCCAACAACCATTAACTGCCAGTAGTCCTTCAGGGAGGGGTAGGGTCTCAGGGGCCCCTCTCATCCATGATGGAATGTTGATGAGCCCACTCTTGTGCAAGCCTTGTGTACATAACCACAGCTGCACTGAGTTCATGAGTGCAATGGCCAAATCATGTCCAGAAGACTCCTTTTTGCTGCACATCCCACATCCTCTGGCTCTTATATTCTTTCTTCCCCATCTTCTTGATATTCCCTGAGCATTGGAGGAAGTAATATAGGGTCTAAGTTTCTTTTCTTATTTTTTAATTTGAATTTTTGTGTATTTCATACATAAAATTATCTTTGTACCCCCTGCCCCTTTGTCACCCTCCCATAGCCTCTGCATTGGAGTTCATACATTCTGTCGTTTGTGTTAAGGCCTTTCATGTAAAGTTAGTGTCCCAGATGTCCCTCATTGCAAGTTTATCCACTGGGATTTAGTCAGCCTATCTAGAATCCCTCCCTTTAATAAGCTCAGTTCTTCCTCACCCAGCAGTAATAAGCTGCCAATAATTTTTTGACTAAGATTGGAGTCTGCTGTTCATTTCCATGCTGGGTTTTTGTTTGCTTAAGTTTGCGTGGGTCTTGTAGATGCTGACACTATTGCTGTAAGCTTGTACGAGAAGGGTTCAAGGTGCCTGAAGGATTTTTTCTGTATGGTCCTGCACCTCCTCCCTGGCTCTTACAATCTTTCCATCCCCTCTTCTGCAATGGTCCCTGAGCCCTAGGTTGGGTGGATTTTAATATAGGGGTCCTGTCCAAGGACCCACACTCTGAAGACTCTTATTCTCTGCATTTTGGACATTTATGCATTATGAACTTTTGCATTCCTGGACCTCTTTGCATGAGAGAGCCTCATTGATGAGATTTGAAAGATGTGTTACTGTTCTCTTTATCACTTGTTCTATTTTCCATGAGGTTTAGGTGGAGAGGTTGAATCCTAGATGTGCCACTTAGACTTGGGCAGTTCACACCAATCTCTGTGTGTAACCAATTGTAAAACTGTGTAATTATCTCTGTCTCTTGAAAAAGAAGCTTCTTCAATGGGTGGTGACTGGGATACTTTTCTATAAATTTAAGGATCCATATTTTGGACATAGTAAGAAATTAAATTTGTCTAGTGATGTGACAGCCTTGGAGTTTTCTCGAAGATCTATGACCTCTCCGGGTCTATATATTTGGCTAGGTTTACCATACCACACATGAGTTTCCTCCCACTGAGTGAGCTTTAAGTCAAATTACGTAACTGTTGATTACCCCCAAAATAAAACTGCCACTATTACCCCAATGTCGTTTGCTGTGCTGGTCATTGATATGGTTTTTAGGCCTTGAAGCTGGGGTTGGACTATTGATTGATGTTCTTCCTTAGCTAAGTTTCTTTTTTTTAACATTTTATTCATCACTTTTATTTTTAATGTGTATGAGTGTATTGCCTGCATGTATGTAAGTGCACCCATGTCATTCATGCCTGCAGAAATCAGAAGAGGGTGTCAGATCCTCTGGAACTGGAATTACAGATGGTTGTTAGCTGCCTTGTGGGTGGTGGGAACAGAACCTGGGTCTTTGCAAGTGCAGCCCATGCTCTTAACCACTGAGTGCTGAGCCATCTCTCCAGCTCTCAAGTCTTTTTTTTACTTGCTTTGGAAAATTGCTTTAGCTGCTGGAGATATGGATGAATGTCTACAGTTTTGGTCCCATTGTCTATGGTATATCCTTACATTTATTTTATTCTAATATTATGTTTGTATATATTCCCTCTTCTAAAAGTTTCACATTTCTAAGTGCCTAGCTTATTTTTAATGTTTTTGTTATTTGTAGCTTCACTGTACTATAACAGAAATTGTGTAAAATTTGTATTTTAAATATTTACTTAGATTTTTCACTTAACTAAAATGCATAAGTATGCTAAAGAGCCAGAGACATTTCCTGTGCATCAGTAAAAGTTTTGCTCACCTTGCCACTATATTCCTCATGAACCTCATTTATATCTGCCAATAAAGCAGTCCTAACCCTTCCTTTCTCCCTGTATTTATAATCTCTCTCTCCCTCCTTCCATCCCTCACTCTGTCTCTCTCTCTCTCATCTCATCTCAATATAAATATATAGATGTCCTATCTACAATCTCTTATTCTCAGCACTTTGACCAGTTGTGAATCTCTGCAGTAACCACTACCCACTGCAATCTCTGTGTGTTGTCATCGTCTTAGTTTGCTCACAGATGTTAGTTGCCAACTGGACAATAGAGAATGACCCCCAATACACCAGTGAATGCTTTTTTGTCATAAATGCAATTTTGCAATATTAAGTTCCAGCTTCATATTTCTTGTTTTCTACATCAATATGGGACTTTTATCAGTTTTTCATTTTAAACCTTTTTTGTTTTTTATTTTCCATCCATATCTTTATTTTTATTTGAATATTTTTTGAGGCAGGATTTTCCAGTAGCCCCAAGCTGGCCTGGAACTCTTTATGTATACCAGGCTGGCCTCCATCTCACAGAGATCCACCTGCCTCTGCCTCTAGAGTGTTGGGATTAAAGGCATGTGCCACCATGCTTGCCTATCTTCTACTTTTAAAATCACCCTCAGACCGTGAATAAATTTTTAAAATCATATTTCATTTATTCTTTGAAAATATCATACATGTATACACTCTTGATCATAACCATCTGCATTTCCTCCCTCCAGTTCCCCCTGATTCTTCCAACACATCTCTCTCCCAACTTCAAGTCCTTTTAAAAAATACCCGAGTCCAGTTAGCATTGCCCATATGTGCATAAATATGGGGCCATCAACTGGAGCATGAGGAATCTACCAGTGGTCACAGACCCAAAGAAAAGTGACTCTGTTTTGCATTTTTCTATCCACAATTTTTCTATAATCTATGACAATTTTTAAAGATTTATTTATTTATTTTATGTTTGTGTGCCTTAGTGTATGCATGTGTAACAGGTGCATGTAGGAGTCTGGGAAACTCAGAAGAGGGCTTCAGATGCCCTAGAACTGAATTTACAGACATTTGTGAGCCAGCATGTAGAGGCTAGGAACCAAACCTGGGTCCTCTGCAAAAGCTATAAGTGCTCTTAACCACTAAACTATCTCTTCAGCCCTCTTCTATAATGATTTAGACAATAGGCGTCATTTCTATGATTCTACACTTGACTTTCTAAAGATAGCCTTAGTCAAATATTTCAGTCAATAAAATCTAGGGCTGAAGAGATGACTCAGTGGTTAAGAGCACCTGCTGCTCTTGCAGAGGACTGGGTTTCAGTTCTCGGCACCCAGAAGGTCGTTGACAACCAGCTATAACTCCACTTTCATCGGATGCATTGCTTTCTGACCTCTATATGCAAACAAAATATTCAAACACATACAATAAAAACAAATAAATAAAATGAAAATCTAAACACTTACTTTGGGCTCCATTTTGCCAAAAACTATATAATTTAATTCCTTTCCTTTTGCTTCCCTCCCTCTCTTTTATATGTATATTAATTTCCTCTGAACAACAAACTTCATACATCTTGCCTTAAATTTTAAATCGATTAGAGATTTTTTAATGCATTCTATTTTGCTGACATTGCTATAATTTAATTTTAAATTTGTATTAGCAGAAACCTTTCTCACAATAGTCGTTAGTGCTCTTATGCTTTCATTTGTGTTTGGCCCCAGGATTTTAACCTAGTGTTTTCTGTCATGCCAGCCCCAAATCATTCATTTCTAAGATAAGTTGGTCCTTTATAACATCCTGATCAAGTAACTCCCACAGAATAAAGTCATGGCACATCTTTCTGGAACTTTCTCAGATGGCTGGAAGTGATCAAGCCCTGATACAGCCATCCAGTTACTCCACAGTCTCTGGAATCTTTATTTCAGTGAACAAATATGAGTACAACATAATTTTAGATGGCTTTAAAATCATCTTTTTATTTTTACTGTCGAGACTTTCAGAGCTTTGTTTATTCCTGAAATGGAAACATTGTGATCCAGTGTCCTCTATTATTGTTCTCTATGCATTAATTTTACATGTAGTTTCATGTTTCAGAATTGGAAAAGTTTTTTTTTTTCTATCATATCCACGGTCATCCCCTCTGTTCTCTTTCTTTGTTTCCCCTTTGGGAGCACCTCTGCTGCGTGAATTGCTTCTGCTAGACCAACCCACCCTGTTTATGTCTCTTTTCTTGGCTTTTCCCTTCTGTATTTTTAATCTCATCCACAGCTGCCCTAGGGTCACTGCCATTCCTGACTGCCAATGTCAGGAATTCAACTTGCTAACCTTTTCTAGAAGACAGTGCCCACTGACACAAATACTACAAGGTATCGATCCATACATGCTGCTGGTACAGATTTTGTTTACTTGCTGTTACATCACAATTTATTTACATACTTTACCACAGGTTCTTGAGGCCCCTGAAATAAATGCTCTTAAGAACTTTACAGCATATGGCTTCTGAAAGATTGTGTGAGGTTTGGTGTTGTGTGTATAAAGTAGTGGATCTTCTGAATGGTAGTAGGCATTGACTCTGTTTTTGTGGATTCCACTACAGAGGTTCTCAAGTGAATGCCAATTCATTCTCCAACCAGCATGTGTTAGAACCCTACTCATCCCCCAACTCTGTCAACACTGACTGTTGGGTTTTCATGTCAGTCTTCTTGGTGGGTAAGTGTATCATATTGGGTGTTTTTGCTGTTGTTTTGAGACAGGGTCTCCCTGGAGACCCAGATGGCCTGGAACTCATTATGTAGTCCAGGCTGGCCTTGATCTCACAGAGATCTTCCTGTGATTAAATGTATGTGCCACCTTGCTCAGCTCACATTGTGCTTTTAATTTGCCTTGTTTTCTTATAACAAATGATGTTACACACCTTTCTGGATGTCTCTGTCATTTTAATGTTCTCTTTTGTGAAGTACTCATTCAACTTTCTTTTCCTGTGGGTTGTCAGTCTTTATTTTTATTTTTAAATTTTTTTTAATTTTATTTATATTATATGTATGAGTGTCTTACCTGCATTTATGTAAATGCACCTGTGTCATACAATGCCCGTGGAGGCTAGGGAATGTGTCAGATCCCCTGGAACTGGAGTTTAAGATGGTTTTTAGCCACCATTTGGGTGCTAGAATCTGAACCTGGGTTCTCTTTAAGACCAGCCAGTGCTCTTAATTGTTGAGCCATCTCTTTAGCCCTGATCTTATTATTTTTAAGGATTTTATTTCATTTTTAATTATGTGTGTGTATGTGCACATGAGCACATGTGCCCACTTAAGGCAGAAGGGGGTGTCAGATCCCCTGGAGCCTGAATTACAGGCAGTTGTGAGCCACCTGACATGGGTGCTGGGAACTGAACTCAGGTTCTCTATAAGTGCAGTACTTCCTCTTAACTGCTGAGCTTTCTCTCAGGCCCTGGTTATAACTTCTTTGTATATTTTGGCCCGATCTTTTGTCAGATATATAATTGCTACACCCATAATTGTGTCTTTTAATATCAAGAAGTTGTTTTAATATGGTCCAGTGTGTCACTGTTTTTTATTAACATTTTAATAGTTTTGAGTTTTGTTGAAGAAACCTTTGCTTAAGCAGGAGTCATGATGTTTTCTTCTTTGTTCCTGTTATATTTTTTGATGCTATATTTTACATTTAGCACCCCAGTTTATCCAGAGTTTAGTTTCATGTATGGTGTTGGGTGGTAATGATACATTTTCCCTACTTGAATATCCTATTGACTCACCAATTGAAAAGACACTCGCCCACATTCACACTGCAGCATTATCTTTGTTAGAACTCTGTAATGCTTCATCTGTCAGTTTGTCCAACCTCAGCCCAGTATACCATTTCCTCACTTCTCTTTATTTTCTTACAGAGTTATGGATATTATTATTATTATTATTATTATTATTATTATTATTATTTTCCCTTGATGGATTAGGCAGCCTGGGCTAAACTTTACTTTGACCTTATTATCAAAGGTCTGAACTATTTTGATAGAGTCCTCCCATGCGCTAATCTCTGTTTATCTCATTTTAACATTTTTTGACCTAAAGAATGAATCCCCAACTTACAGAACTCCGGGGAGAATTGAATGAAATGATGTTGCTCTTTTGCTTAGCCCATAGATAGCACAGTATACATGTTGTTTATAATTTAGTGGTTCAAAGTACAGTCTCTGAAGCAGACTCTAAAGCAAAGCTATCTGGCTTCACATATGGCCCCTCTTCTTTGAAACATGGGCTATTGTGGGACTTATTATAGGTGTCCTTTGGTGTGTTTAAAATGGAGATCATTATGGGGATAATTGTATATCTTGAGTTTATGGTGGGAATTAAATAGGGTATACAACACTTCTCAGCTTTGTGCTTATGATAACAGATGTAGACTGTGTCACAGCGTGTGGTCTACAGAATCAGTCCCATGCTCTGATGCCTTTATGACTCTACAGCAGCCCCCAATCACAGGCTGGATCTCAATATCTCTCTCTCTCTCTCTCTCTCTCTCTCTCTCTCTCTCCCTTTCTCTCCCCCCTCTCTCTTATGTAGCATATGTGCATGCACGTGAGAGAGTTGTGCATTATAGCACATAATGATCACTCTTTAGAGTCTACCTTCTAGTACTCTCAGGATATTAATCATGTTGATTTAATCTCTCTTAAGGAAGCCCAATTTTGATTCATAAAGCTGCATCACTGGACTGGAGAGATGGCTCACTTGTTAAGAGTGCTTACCCAGCCTGTGACTCCAGTTCCAGTGGATCTGATACCCTCTTCTGGCCCTTACAGTCACTTGTACACATGTGATCCATATACATGCATGCAGGCAAAACACTCATGCATATAAAATAAAAATGAGTATCTCTTTTTTAAAAAGCTGCATCCTGGGGCTGGAGAGACTCAGCAGTTAAGAGCACTGGCTGCTCTTGCAGAGGACCTGGGTTCAATTCCCAGTACTCACATGGCAGCTAACAATCATCTGTAACTCCAGTTTCAGGGGATCTGACACCCTGTTCTGGCCTCTGTAGACAGCACATAACATTGAGTGCACTTATATACACGTAAGGAAACCACTCATACACATAAGATAAAAAATAATAAGTAAAATATTTTTAAAAACCTGTAGCCCATGAAGGTTATCGACAATATAGGAAAGTTAAATACTGTGCTAATATCTGTTTTATGAGGCAGGGCTCTCTGATGGCACAATTTTCCTTAAGCCCCAACCTGGTCTTCTCCTAGGCTACTGACAATCTAGTTTAATAGTGGTTTCTTTGTGAACTTCAGTTCCTCTCTGGAGGTGATACATTCCTGCCTACGGTCTGGTTTTGTCATTTTCCCCAGGGAGAAGGTTCTGAGGCCCTCCAGAAGGACAAAGCAGCATACTTAGTGCAGAAGTTGCCTATGCCTGACTCTTTATCCTTTGTGGCGTATATCCCATTCAAATCCCATGCTGATCCAAAGGAATGGACCTAGAAAAACCAGACAGAGTGTCTTACTGGGCTGTCAAGAAGAATGACGTGTCAGGCCTGTGTAAGTATTTCTGGTGTGCTCCTGTTTCTTTGGAAACTAGAAACTTGATAGGCCAAGTCAAGAAGAAGATTCTGGCATTTTCACTCTAAGAGCAGATCTGGGTCACAGTGTCCTCTCCTTCACTCACAGATGTATCCTGGTCTGGCTGTCTCTCTTGGTTTGTCTTGCGGGGGTCTCAGGCTGGGGTCTTTTCCCTACTTTCCTGACTTCTTGACACCTCAGCCTGGCCTTGACTCAGCTCTGAGATGGCCCCTTCTATTTTTAATCTCTCTCTCTCTCTCTCTCTCTCTCTCTCTCTCTCTCTCTCTCTCTCCTTCTCCTTCTCCTGTGAGTACTTGTATGTGGAGGTATGCATGTACTTGTGTGAGCCTATGTGTGAAGGCCAGAGAACAATCTTAGCTATCTTCCTCAGGAATACTGGACACTTCTTTTGAGACAGGCTCTCTCACTGGCCCAATGTTCACCAATTAGGCTAGAATGACTGACTAACAAATCCCAGGGATCCTCCTATCTCTGCCTCTCTAGCACTGGAATTCAAAGCACCCACCACCATGTCCTGCACTTTTCTGTGGGTTTTGAGAATCATACTCAAGTCCTCCTGCTTGTAAGACAAATGCTTTGCCAAATGAGCCAACCCCTCAACCCCTCAACCCCGGGCTGCCTGCCTCTTTTATAAATTTTTTAAACTT